ATATGTATACAACCCATTTCTGGCTTTGCAAAGACCTGTTCATCACTTTGGCTGACTCGAGAGGAATTCAATTCAACGAAATGCGGGGATGGAGTCCGAAATGAACTCGGATGAATGTCACATGTATCAAAATAAGGGAAAAGGAATTAATGGAGGGTTTCGAACAATTCACATGTGCAATTATGTTTTCAACTAGGAATAACCATGATATAGCTTAACTCAAGATATCTACAAATTACTACAAGCATCAAATAACATATATAAGCATATGAAGTATCACTAATGTCCACCACGTGATACAATACATGCCACTTTCAATAATTTCACTTTGACAAATTAGCAAACATATCATACTTAGCCATATGAAGAAATGAAACAAAAGGAAATTACTTATGTTATAGTTGTAGGTCATCCAAAACAAAAAAAAAAAAAAAAAAAATTTGAATTACAAACGACACTAACACTAAAGTGATACCAAAGAAAAATAATGGCTAAGTAAAAAATTCAATGCACAACTACATTATGAGTCTTAAGATATTGAAACAAAGTTCCAAAACATATAACTCTAACATAAACATCAAAACAGTGCACTTAGATACCATTTTCAAAAAAAAAGAAAAAGAAAAAAAAAACAAAAAACAGATGTACAGGCATAACACATTCATAAATATCTTCCCTACAACAAAAGAAAATGACTTAACAGAGAGAAAGTCATTACTAAAGAGACAAATTATGACTAAATTCGATAACGTAAACACCCACATTAACTGAAATAAATTAGGATTGGAAATGAATTTTACCTTTCTCGGAGCAGGAACTGGGACAACGAGCTTGACTATGAAGCAGCTTCCACACTAGAGAAGTGATAAACTTTGAGAATTATAATGAACTTCGGTAAGAGATTTCGACGAGACGAAGAGAAATTCCAAGAAATCCCCGATCTAACTTTGTGGTTTTTGGTATTATATCGATACTATATTCATCAATCTAAAATTACGACTTTTAAAATTCCCCCCCTCCCTCTCAAACACTGACTGGTCGAGAAATTATATAGGGGAAAAGAAAATCATTTTCTTTTCTTTTTTTTTTCTTTTTTTTGGGAGGAAACTGGATGGACAGGAGGTATTTGAATTTGAAATTCAAGTTCCCTTTTGGATAAGGTTGCTGAATATCCGCAATTTGGTGGGATTTTCTGGGATTTTTGCTGAATTTCTGGGTTTGTTGCGTGAAGAAGATGATATTGGGGTAGTGGGGTCGCATGCTGGAATTGGGAATGCTGATGGGATTTTGTGGGCTGGGAAATAAAGGGAATATTGGGCTGATGGGTTGGTCTCATGGGACATGGGCCCAAAATTAGTTTGGGCTGCTGGAAAAGGTAGAAAAAGGGCCCAAAACTTGGTCTTAAATAGGTTTAAGGTTAGGGTAGAAATGAGCTAGAATTATAAAAGGAAAATGACCTTTTGAATTTCAACTATAGCCAATTTGAATTTAAGTAACAAAATTGGCTAAAACTTAAATAAAATGAATTAATATAATCAACTAACGAACTTCTTAACAAAATAAATAATTGAATTATAAACTAATAACTCGAAATTATGACTATAACTTAAAGTAAATTAGTAAAATATTTAACTAAAATGTAAAATCTTTTGTGATGATTTTTCAAAAATTTATAAAATAATGTGATTGTAAAAATATACATATTTATTGTTTAAAATTATTTAAAATGAAAAAATTACTTTTAAAAATAACTTGGAAGTATTTTGAATTTCCTGAAACTCATTAATTCAAAATTATAACCATCACTAATAAAATATTAAAAATATGAAATCTTTTTTGAGATGATTTTTGAATAGTCATGAAATACATTAATTATATATATAATTATATAAAACATAGATATTATTTAAAAATTATAAATAAGTGATAAAAACTATTTAAGATAACTTGCAAACTATATTTATTGAAATTGAAGAAGCTCGGTGATTAATTAATATTGTGGAGGTCCAAAATTGGGTGTCAACAATATTAAGGGTAAACTACATAAATCCCACTACTTTACATCCTAATTACTAGGAATCTCGTTAGTTTTCAATATTACTATATATACCATTTTTCGTTCATAAGATACATGACTCTATTAGAATTTAAAAGATACATGTTTTAAAGGATAGGATACATATTTTAATTAATTTGAATTAATTGTTTTAGTTTAATTCCTTAATTAAAGGAGTAAGTTATGGGAGATATAACAACCATAATGTAATTATGGCTCCATCTCATCATCATCGATTGATATCATCAAATTATTTTCTGAACTTATCTTCTTCATCAAATTATCGTCCTTTTGAATCACCAAATTTTCTAAATTTCTTTTGATCATGGTGAATATCACAATATTTTTATGTCATTCCAGTTCATGGGTATCTGAAATCGAATATGAAAATTACAGAAGATATATGTATCTGTTGACTTTTAAAATCGAGATACATGTTTCATTTGTTTAAATTAATTAGTTGTAACTCATTTCCTTAATTAGAGGATTAATTGAGATACAAGTATCATTACTCGCGAAATACATGTATCCATTGATTTTAAAAGTCGAGATGCATGATTTATAACTTTAAATTAAAGAGGTATAACTTATTTCCTTAATTAAAGGATAAATGGATGAATGATTAACAATCAAAACTGATTTACATGATCCTTGATTATCAACTTTAACAAGTTTTCCTAAAATAATGAAATCATAAATCATAGTAATTTTGTAATTGTAAACTTCATCTCCTTCATTAATTCCTTCTTTTGTATCTTAAATTTTTGAATATTTCGGCCTTGAGATACATGTATCATTTTCGTGAGATAAACGTATCCATCGGTTTTAAAAGTCGAGATATACGATTCATTATTTTGAATTAAACGGGTGTAGTTTATTTCATTAATTGATGAAATTAACAAACCAAACAGATTTACAAGATACTTGTGTATCAACTCTAACAAGTGTTCCTAAATTAACGAAATCATAAATCATAGTAATTCTATAATTGTAAACTTCATCTGTAATTGTTAACTTCATCTTCTTCATCAATTCCTTCCTTGTATCTTAAATTTCCGGCTTGAATGTTGACGGATGAAGACCCTACAATGACAAAAACCTAATTTGTAAAAGTTTATACAATCAAATTTTACACACACTATGAACTCTATCTCAGATGCGTGAATGGAATGTAAACCAAGATACATGAGAATAATGAAAAATAATAATAATTTACCTCATTGATACAACAATTGTGTTGAAAAAACCTTGAACTTCTTCTGGATAATATTAGTCATCTGAAAGAAGCAAGTTAATGACTAATTTATAGAAAAGATGTATGGACCATGACGATAATGAATATGAGTTTGTATATGATGTTGATTATCACGATTTGGTTAAGGAAGAGAGAGAGAGAGAGATGGGGTGGATGTGAAGTACGTGGGGTGGAGGTGAACATTAGGGTAATGAGAAAATAATTTGTGTACCATTAATTAAGGAGTTTAAATTTTAAGATAATTATTCAATACCATATTTAAGGGATTTGTGTATCTAGTTAAATCTTATAAAATATATGATATAAATATTAAAAATGGTATTATGTGATTTTTTTAAACTAGAGGTAAAATAAGTATATATGGTAGAAAAGTATGTCTAGTTGGTAGTTTTTCCTAATATTAACTAATTTCAAAGTTTTAAATCAGAAAAAATTGCAGAAATCTCACATTTTAGTTTACTTATTACCATTATCCCCTATAAGTTTTACAAATCTCCAAAATTCCTCATTTTCGCGCATCAGATTAGTGTATCTCGCGCATCAGATAGTGTATCATGTATAAAATGTACATCGGATTAGTGTATCTCGCGCATCAGATTAGTGTATCTTGCACATCAGATAGTGTATCATGTATAAAATGTATATCATATTAGTGTATCACGTGTAAAATGTAATGTATCTTACTTAACGATTAATGTATCTCGCGCATTAGATTAATGTATCAACGCTTATTTTATTATATCCGTTTTGAGGAATTTGTGTAATTATAAACTTTTAAGGGATAGATTGTAATTTTGCCTTAAAAGTATGTGATTTCTGTAATTTGCCCTTTAAATAATATATAAATTATAGGAACCACATATTATAAGGGATACATGCGGGATACATAGGTAAATAAGGGATTTTTGAAATTTTTGAAATAAGTAGGGATAAATGGATATTAAGGTAAGTAAAGGAGTGTAGTTAAGTAATTTGTCCTTAAATAATTGGGTAAAATGGGCCATTCAAGTGGGTTGCCCAAGTTGGCTAAGTGGGCCTCTGTTATTTACTGCAGCTTGGGCATCAAAGCCCAATAATGGTAAGCTGAAGCTTCACTTTTTTCTCCGGGTCATTAAGAAATTAGAATAAGCTAACTAAGGTAATTTTTCCAAATAAATCTATACAAGAGTTAATTATTCATATTTTGGAGATATCAAATACCAATAATATATTTATCCGCATCTCGTGTTTAAATTTCAATAAATACTTATTCGTATGCCATATTAATATCAAATCAAACAATTTAATTTTAACAATTAAAAAAAAATAAGAATACACAACTTAATGTGTATGAATAATATATGTTTTGCATTGAAAATGATATCCTCTAATCACTTATAAATTGAACATAAATTATTATTATTTTCAGATTTCCTATAAGAATTTTTTTTATAAAAAATATATAAATTAAGAACAAATTTATTAAAAGGTTACAGAATCGAATCTCATGCGACTCATATTGTAATACAAAATAGACAATAAAAAATAGTGATGTGAACATCACAATACGAAGTTAGAGAATATAATATATGTCAAGTTGCCAACTCAAATAGACTATTAAAAGAAGCAATAATTGAAGTAGTATGTTGCGTTTTTAATAATTTATACAAGTCTGGTTGAAAATAATTGCAGAGAAAACAAAAAAGAGAGAGAAAAAGATTAAAATGGTTGGACCAAATAGACCACAAATTGTTCTATTTGGATCCTCAATAGTGCAATTTAGCTATAGCCATGAAGGTTGGGGTTCAATCCTCACTGATCTATACTCTTGCAAGGTACTCTATTTATCTCTTATTCTATCTTTAATTTGTTGTTTTATTTTTCTATGTTTTTTTTGGTCTCTTGGTGTTTTAATGAACAAGGATGATTTTTGAGGGATACAAATTCGAACTAGGGATTTTTGACTTGCTAAGATTTTGACCTGTTTGTTCAGTTCACTTTGTCTCTTTAAGCATTCCTTCGCCTTGTCATGTCCTGTCTCACTCATCAGCTTGTGTCCTGCCCTATTGTCATCCCTAATCCCAAATTTTGTTTTTTAGTATCCAGTTGAGAGGAGAGTGAGGGTTAATACTACTTACTTAGCTTCTTCCTATGTTTATATCAAAGGAATGAATGCAAGATTGTGTTTTTCATCATTTAATTATAATTAAATGATATATATTTCTACTCTAATTTATAATTATAAAGATTAAATTATTTAATTTGATGTAAATACTCAAAAAGTAACCCCAAATTGAATGTCCTATGTGCATATTAGTTGAACGAAGCTTGGAGAACAAATTAAGGAATCAAAACTATATAACAGAAATATTATATATTCGTAAATGGTATTATATTTGAAAGTAGAACTCAATTAGAAGGATATTGAAGCTAATCTCAATCCACAATATTTTTTTTCCAAAAAAGAATTTTCGTGTACTAATTCTACTATAACCAAACTATATGCTCTGAAGGCGGTTCAATTGGATCCTAAATAGTAAAATCCATAAAAATAAATAATAAATAAATATAAAAGTGAATAAATATACTTTTTTTAATTAGCTTAAATCAAGTTGATTATGGTTTTTATAGGCAGATATAGTGCTTCGTGGATATGGTGGTTGGAACACTAGGCTGGCTCTACAGGTTTTGGACCAAATATTTCCCAAGGTACTTCCTATATCTGTTGTTCAGTGTATAAAATTTAAACTCTTATTTATTCTAATAATTACAGAGGATAAATATATATATGCTTATTCATAATTATTTGTTTATATATAATTAAGGATGCAGCAGTACAACCATCACTTGTTATTGTATACTTTGGTGGAAATGACTCAATGAAACCTGATCCAAATGGTCTAAATGCTGATGTTCCTCTTCTTGAATATATACAAAACATGAAGAACATTGTACTTCATCTCAAGGTGTCCATTTGAAACTACTCAACGAACATGATAATTTTATAGCTAAACAGCAAAATTAATCGCTAATGAATTATCAAAATTGCTTGCAGAGCCTATCGGAAAAGACTCGAATACTAGTTCTTAGTACTCCACCAGTGAATGAGGAACAAATCATCAAATTGTTCGGGTAATACATACTGAAATTTAACAAAAACAAGGTTTTATATACTACATATTATTGACTTATAGTAGGGAAATGTTTCTGACAAACTTTACATAAAAAATCTCATAATTTTAAGACAACTTACGTAGATTCCACTAGTTTAGGAACTAATTACTTAGATACACTCTAGTTTGCAATATTATGTATCTTACTAGATTTTAGTGGCTCCAGATATGTCTAGATACATATATCTCGGATACATGAGGTCAAATTTAGGTGTAATTTGTTCTAGATATATTGTATCCAAGTGGATTCACATGTATCTGTGTGATACATAGCAAATATCGCTCACCTCCCTCGCCTCTCTCCCATCTCGCTCGTCATTCTTCTAGATACATGCGAATCACTCCAGATATATATAGATACATGTATCTAGTGTGATTCTACATGAGATACATATGAATCTCATTCGCCTCTCTCCCTATTTTTATGCATCTGATAGCAAAAATGCATGTATCTAAGTGTAAGATACGTAAGAAACTCTTAATTAGTGGTAAAATACGTAATATTTTGAAAGTATAGGTAATGATAGTATATATGGTAGTGAAGTATGTCTAATTATATAGTTATTCCTATTCGTAACGACGTTGTTCGTCAAAAATTCCTATATTTTGTAAGTAATGGCTTGCTATTGTTGTTTGTTTTCGGAAAACAGAAGTTCTCGACGTTCAAATGAGAGCTCACATATATATTCAGAAGCTTGTATAAAAATGTGCAAAGAGTTGGGGATCAAGGTGATTGATCTTTGGACTGCACTTCAAAATCGAGATGATTGGTTGACTGCTCATTTCACGTACGTTTTTCTATCTTAATTTAAAGCTTCAAGTATTAATTAGTGGTAAATAATTGATTGAAAAACTAAATTCGTGCAGATAGCTTTATAATTACGTTTAAGACTTCTCATCTACTTTCTAATTAAATTATTTTTACGGAGTGTACGTGAGAAAAATTAGATCCTAACTCATGTGCAACATTTCCTTATCGAGAATCACTTAATTTGACACCCTTACATATGTAACCCCTTTTTGTAGTGATTTCTTCGAAATATATTCGATTTCAAGATTTGAAAATATTTTTGATTTTATAAAAATGGTTTATATATAAGATCTATTTATCCAAGAGAGTAGGCCATCACTCGAACTCGAACTCGAACTAGGATGTATTAGCGGTACTTTCTAAGAGCAGCATGTCTATCAATTTTATCATAGCACCTTGTCTTGAATTCATAATAGCCTATGAATAAGCAATTGTTGAGATTGAATAAGCTATTTTAGTTTAATTTAGTAATAATTCAAATGAATCAACAACAATAAAAAGTTGTTCAAATAGGAATTCGAGGTTGAAGGTTTTAATTTTTAACTTGGGGCCGTAACAAATAATAAAAGATAATATTGTATTCATAAACTAATAAAATTCCAGTGTTATGTACAATTTCTATTATTCGTCTACCGTTGAAAATAACTAGCAAGACTTCTATTTATAGTACTACAAAATCTACTTTAACTCAAAATATGAAAACTTATACCTATATCAATTTAACTACAAATCTTAACTAGAGTCTAGACACGATTTCTTACAACTTTGAATTATTTTTCCTAACAGATAACTTACCATATATATATATATATATATATATATACACACGCACTTGAGGTTCAAATTCACTATGATATTTTGTTATATTTGGGTGTAAGGGATGGAGTTCATTTAACAGCAGAAGCAAGCAAAGTTGTGGTTAAGGAAATCTTAAAGGTTGTGAAAGAAGCAGATTGGGAGCCAAATCTACATTGGAAATCATTGCCAAATGAATTTGCACAATATTCACCTACTATCTTTGTTGGGCCTAATGGTAACACTCCTGTTATTGTTGCTGATTTGGACTTGGACTGGCAAGCCCAATGGATCTGACAATATGAATGTTTGTCTACCGTCAAGATAGGGATTTGCTTCTGCAGAAAAGCAAGAAAGGCAAGAAAATGCGCTCGAGCAGCTTAGCTTCTTACTATCACTTTTGGAAAACCTACTTTGAACTTCTCTTCAACTCAATGTTCATCATATCAGTTACCATCTTCAATTCATATTTTTTGTAAAACTCTTATTAACTTCTTTAAGAAGGATATTTAGTAATTTTAATTTAATCTAAGTTATCATTTTCATTTGAATATACTTGCAGCTGAGTCATATCTTATTTTATCGCATTTCCCTAATACTTTTTCGGCCTATATCTATCTCTCTTTGTATCTTGTATAATCAACCTCTCGCATTTTCTCTTTACATGTCCAATCCATATTAATCTCGTTTCCTTCATTTTGTCCACCAGCATGGGGCCACTCCCACCTTAGTTGGGTGAATTGAAATTAATTAATAAATATTTCTTGCTTTTTTAAAATGTTATATATCTTAAAAGCAAATTTAATTTGTCAAACTGACTAGTATTTGAGATCGAAAAAAAAAAAAACACTTCAAGTATATGGACTCAAACATAATACTCTTGTTAAGTCTTGTTAGGTTTTAAATGTAATTCGCATGTGATAATGTAACCACTCGAAAATCCAAATGACATGAGCTGGTCTACAATCTGGAAATTAAATTTCATAGATATGAGAAGATCAAATATTTTATATGACTTGCAAGACATAATATATTTATGTCTAACGAATCTAATAATTGAGTCACCATAATAAATTTATGTCTAATAATTATGTCTAAAGTACTGATATGGAATAGCTTTATCTTACAAAACAATATCCTGATTGTTTCAATTTATTTGTCCTATTTTGATCTAATACAGAATTTGAGAAAATAAAAAAGATTTTTAAGTCTTATGATTTTAAATTAAGGATATGTCAATGTATCAAAATGTCTTTTAATTTTGTGGTCTTAAATGTGTAGTTGAAATTAGAGAGTTGCTAAAAAGGGGAAAAAATCATTCTTTCTAAAAGATTTTTTTCTTCAAAAAATTAGAACAAACAAATCGAAACGAAGACAGAGTAAAGGGTAGAATGGATTGGAGAAAAGCTGTAGTGAGCCCCATATTGAATTTAAGGCAATTGCAAAGTGCAAGTTGTCAAGTCTAATTGCAAATGGCTAGCTGCTTTAATGATAATTCATACAGAGATTAGAGATAAATAGTTAAGTATTACTTTAGCACTTTAAGAGAAATTAACTAGGACGTTGTTTCTCGTTGAACAAAAAAAATAATTAGAATCACAGTACAATTTCTTTTTGTCCAATTTTAGTTATATTAATATTTAAGTCCTAAATATTATAAAAAATAGTTAAGTGACAATTATGATTAGTTAGTAATTTAGTATATACTTCCGTTTCAATTTGTTTGTCTTATTTTTCTTTTTGATTAATCTATTTTTAGAAGAAAAAAATATCTCTTTCCTTTATGGTCTAACTCGTTAACTTCAATTTTTCAACAGACAATTTTAATACCACAAGATCAAAGAACATTTTGATACATTCTACCTAATTTAAATTTAAAATCACAATATTCAAAAAGTTAACAAAAAAGTGGCTACTTACTCCTATATATACCTTTGGAGTTTGACCACGCCCAAAGGCAGAGTCCTCAACAAAGAACCTATTCCTATCAAGATATATCAATACAATTTACTTTGTTAAACTTTGTATCAAATTAAAATCAGACAGTCAAATTAAAACGGATATGAATAAATATAGATATATGATGGATGCATCCTATAGACTTGTCAACAACTAATTAACATGGTCAGTAAAGAGTCTTATCAAACTCATCAAACATTCATATCTTATTGGCAAAACTATTTATAAAAGCCAAAGCATTACTAGTAACCTCCTTGACCTTCCCTGCACGATTACAAACGTTCAATTTCAATGGCTCATCATCACTCACATCTTCAAATCCATCAGTACAAGTATCCTCATTGCTCAAAGCCGCACTCATCCATGTTTGAACATTACTCATTTGAAACCTCAATGACTCACTCGAGCCACCGAGCGTACGCATTTGACTCAACGAGTCGCGTATCTGATCGACTGCATCTCCGAATACGGAGAAGCAGTCGTGGAGCGCAGCCACTGCACGTGGCTGCGCTCCATAGTCAGCTTCGCGAGATAAGTTGGAAACAAAAGCTGACATTCGCTTAGCTTTTGCTAGGCTTACTCCAATAGCGACACGTGCTAGGCGACCGGGGTCTTGTTGTACCGCGGTCGCGTAGTGGTTTAGTGAGTGGTAGCAGGTATCCGGATACAAAGTGGTTTTACAACTCGAACGGATGTAGTCCGAGTCATCGAGGACGATGTCAACGGATGACACTGTGGTAGGGTCGAGGAGGGCGGCGGAGGGGGACGGGATAAGGGAGAGGTGGAGGAGCACGGTGGTGAAGAGGATGCAAAGAGTACATGAGGTTTTCATGGTTTATCTACTATAGTTTATTTTTCAACAAAATGTAGCAATATATGTAGGCAATTGGTTTGGAGGTGAAATTACATTTTTGTCCTAATTAAGAACCATTTGTTATGGAGTCATGATTTTTGTTGTCGAAAAGAATATTCATTATGCTCCTTTAATTCGGGTAGTACTATTGAACAATGCGAAAAAGGGTGAAAAGTAATTACTTCTTCAATCTATAAAGTGTTGATAGTTATCGTAATTTTTCTTAACTTTTTTTTTAGTCCGTTTGAAAAAATAAATTAATTTTTAGTAATTTCTTACTTACTCTTTCCACTTGATATGTTTTAAGATCACAAAAAATTAAAAGACTTTTGAATACATTTTACACCTGATTATGAGCAGAAAATTCAAAAGTCAAAATCTTATGAATTAATTATCAACCACAAGGAGAAAGATTATGGGAGCCATGTTATAAGGTAGATACAAGTACACAATACCTGTTTTTTTGTTCAATAGTTTCACCATTATAAGAAAGTAAAAAATTAGCGACAAATAAATTTTTATAATTAAATAAAAAAAATATCATGCTAATTTTATTTAGCTATGAATTGCAAGTGCAATGGATTATATGAAAATTCAATTAATTAGGAGATATTTCGTACATGAATTAACTAGAGATTATCAATAAATTCCACAATATCTTGTAAATGATGTATATCATTTTGTGAATAAAGATTGAAAAAAGAAGTTCAATAGTATAAATTGGTATTCTTAATGTATAGTTTACACATGACTCTCCTTTAATTTCTTCCCTATCTTTTGAATATTTTCACCTTTTTCAAACTCCAAAAATCCTATTTGGATCCAATTCTTTATAAGTGGGGCAGTATACAAACTACTTTTTGAACTTTCAAGTTCTTTTGCTGCCTAAATTAGCGCCACTTAATGGGATGGCCCTACAATAATTTTTTTGGACCAAATGACTTTTACTTTATGTGACACCTAATTATATCATTAGTAATAACTACCAAACATTTGATTAATTTTGACCTTTTGATGACAAAAAAAAAAAAGTTGATGCATGTTCTGACCTGTAATAAGAGCTTTCAGCATTTCTGCGACAGGAATTTGAGAGTATGATTAATATGTCCTACTCCTACCTATACAAAGCTAAAATCAAATTTTATGACTTATCCTTGATTCATCTTATTAGTATTATATTTTTGGTAGCTTGAGAGTAGGTAGTTTTTATCAATTTTCTGTTTTGCAAATTAGTTAATTATTGTACTTAATTCCAACTTATTATTAGAAGGGAAACTTATATAAATTTCACTAGTTTAGGAGCTAATTATTTAGATACATTTTAGTTGTAAATGGGGTCAAAATTAGTTGTAATTTGTTTTAGATACATTTTAGTTGTAAATGGGCGTCCCGATACATGTATCTCGGGATACATGGGGTCAAAATTAGGTGTAATTTGTTTTAGATACATAACAAATCTCGCTCGCCTCGATCCCTCATATCTTGCTTGTCTCTCTCCTATGTATATGGTTCCTAGATACATGCTGATCATACCATATACACACTTCACATTTATTTTTGAATACATAACAAATCTCACTCGCCTCCCTCCCTTTTTAGTGTATTTGGTAGAAAAATACATGTATCTACATATATATTTCTCAATATATAATAGAAAATTCTGAATTAATGATAAAATACATAAAATTGTAAAAGTATAAATAATATAGTATATATGATCGTGAAATATGTCTAATTATGCCGTGTCTCCATATTAGTATAAGTATTAACTTATATAGATGTATTACTAATCCTTTTAAAGTATACTTTAGTATACATCATAATACAGGTAGTGCTAATGTTGGTGGCTCTCATTGGATTTGTAATGCTTTTATTTTGGTAATTAACTAACACGCGGAGAAAGTTAAATTATTATTGTGTTTTTATTTTTTCTATTAAGTATGTATACCATGCATTAATAACCACAATAAGAATGATATATTACATAATAATAACAATAATCTCAGTGCAATTTCATAATTGAATTAGAAAAAATTAAGATTAATGTACATATTTTATCTCTACCTTTATGAGACACATGAATTATTTTCAATAAATCCTCGATAATTTTTTTCTAAAAAATCTGATAGTGAAAGCAAGCTCATATCGATGGAGTTGAATAGCACATGTCAAATAATTAACTTGCGAATTCTTTTATTTACTAAATATTAAATCATTTGAGCTATAATAAATCCAACTTCTGGCATTAATTTAATCCAATAATTTAAGGACATGAATGGAATCTTAACAAATAAATATATAGTATCATATTTTTGTCCTTTCGGTGGTTAGATGTCAGTTTAGTGGGGAAGAGTACGCATGCAATGAGTTTTCTTTTTTATATTTGGTCGAAATGCAATAATACTTAAGTATAAAAATATATAGGTCAAATAATAATAATAATAATAAAAAATGAAATACTAATATATAATTAATATGAAATAACTACATGACATTTGTTAGCCGGGAGTGGGGTGACCCAATCCTACCGCCCCACATTATGATCTCAATATTATAATACATAAACGCACTTTTTAATTTGGTCTTATTTAATATTTATGTACTTTAATTTTGGGTATGTACAAATGAACACTTAAATTTATATATAGTTGAACAAGTAGGCATACACATTATACTTAACATCCTACGTGATAACTTGCATCGTACGCGACATCCTACATGGTGTCTTACGTATATTATGTCACGC